GAGAAATATTCACTCCCCCCCCCCCAAATTGTCTCTAGATCCGTCCCTTTCATATGGCACATCTATTTGCCTTGTCACAGAGGTTTCGGCATAATTGCAAGTAATAGTGCTACACAGTATATATTTTCGCACAATATTTGTAACAGCTACGCAGTATGAAACATGTATCTGCAAAAGTTTTCTAACCACCATTTTCCCCCTCCGTGACGAGATTCAAACGCAGATCCACGAAGTTAACGCGCCATGCGTTGTGCCGTTAGTCTCACGCAGTCGATCGCCCGTACTCCCTTTTTCCGACGCTTCAAACCACGAACCGTATCTCCCATTACTTCTCACCTAGGCAATTTTTTTGAAAATTCAGAAAGTTCAACGAAAATTTGACCTGCGCCATTTTTTAGCGTTCTTTGCTCTATCGGTGGAATCAAAATTGAGCAATTTGTGCGAAAATGTAAGTTTTTTTTATAAATTGCATGATCTTCAGATATGTGAAATCTGCTCGTTAAAAAAGACCGTTCTCAAAGATTTGATTTTTAGAACAGATTTCACTTACAACAAATCTCTATCAATATTGTACTTTTGCAATGTGCATTTATTGCAATTTTCGAAAATACACAGACCTCGCCGAAAATTCGACTGCCACCATTCATTTAAATCCCTTACTTGGGGAGAAAATTGAAAAGATTCTGAAAATGTTGAAACTCCATGTTAAGTACCCCCCCCCCCCAAATCCAAAACATCCGTTTCAAACTCGAAGGGACTTCACTTCGTTCAGATTGATCGGGTAATACCAAAGGCTCTAGCTCAATAAGATTGTAAAAAATGCCCCCACTTGAAATCGAAAAGTAAATATTTTCTAAGGATTGTGACCACAAAAAAACATTTTTTCCTGGACTTTTAGACTCCTCCGCCCACCCCACACCCTTCGTAATACCGAAAATGTGCTTTTATTATTTATTTTTTTATTGAATTTCCATTGGAAATAATGATTCTTGATGTGAAATTTACTCAATTTCTCAAAAATATTTTTTTAAATTTTATTTGTGACAGAATTCAAACTTTTAAACAGATTTTAGTTTTAGATTTTGGGATTTTTTTAAAGGTAGCTTTAACTCCCTCTGGTGCATGAGGAAATTCTCAAATGTTGCCCTAAAAATCAGTTATCTTCTGGAACATTTTGAGATTTTTCTGATTGGTGAACTATGTTTAAAAAAATTAAAATACAATTTTTGTCCTTTCATTTTCGTGTATATACAACTACATAAATTTTTGTAATTACAGTATTTTTTTCAAGCAACAATATTTGCAATGTTAAAAAGCTAATATCAATAAATAATTTTGAAATAATATTTTGACCATTAGATGGGTAAAGTTCATGAATTCAAAATAATACAAGTTTTACAAAAATGTTTAAGCTAAGTAAGAGTAAAAACCATGTTATTAGTAGCTTTACATATTCAGGATCTTGCGAATGGACATGTAGATACAAATATATGAAAATGAATATGAATTTTATTCACACTGACGAGATTGTAAGTCCGATTTTAAAATTTTATTTTTATCAGGGTATAATGTATAGGTCAGCCCCAGAATGTATTGGGAAATATCCCGTGATCATAATATAGATCAAAATGCTATGTCCCAAAATCATTTTGAAGAAATACTAAGATACATTTATTTTTCTAATTCTAATTTGAAGAGTAATGATACATTTGCTAAGATTTCACTCATCTGGTGCATGTTAAATGAACATTGGTTACGCTTCTTTTCTGGCAAAGTACATCTTGTAGTTGATGAATCAATGGTACTGTAAACATTTCAGGTGTAATTCTTCTTTGATTCAACTACACCTGAAATGTTAAATGAATGAAGTTTTTAGTATTTGGATTTGGAATTTTTTCCAAATGAAAATATAATTTACATTTCAACATACAAGCTCCTGATGAGAGAGACAGAAGAGTCTCTAAAATGTTGTGGTGTTTAACAATTTTGTAGCTTAGACGAGTTTTGTAAATTTCTGTTTCTTTTGAATAAAATAGCCTGGCATAGAAGAAACTGGAACTCCATAACACTATTAAATGCATGGTTGTCCAAAGCTAAAAAGGAACTGCAATAGTACACAAGATCATAAGGGACAATCCAAATTAAAATAAATTATCATATTAAAAAATAAAAAGCAATCCTCATAAAATAAAGGGAATCAAGTACTCTATTTCTCTGAACTTGATTTAATGACAAAGAAGCTAATGAAGAATAGGTTCAAAAAGAGACAATGTTGATTTTGTCAATTAGCTTAAAGGGATGACTTTCAAGTATACGAAGGAGAATCTGTGAGTTCTACAGTGCAAGTATACACACACTGATAAGTATTGCTCAATTAGGATCTTGGAAAGGTGTGACGACTTGCTTGGCAAATGAATTGCCAAAAGCATACATATATCCATTGCCTATCAGCACATCAAAGAAACATGATATCTTTCAACTTAGTCATGCAAGTATCATTTCTGTAAAGCTCAATGACTGGAACAACATCCAACTCTACAGCAGAGTGCTAGAACCTGCTGTGGAATACACTGCAAGTGATGATTCTGAAGATGACAGTTCAAATAAAACACATCAGTGATGAAATAGTTTCTCAGACAGTATAAAATATAGAAAACACACTTCAAATGTTAGTTACTACACAGCTTTTGACTTTGGATGAGGCTCTACTGGGACTAGAAAACATGATCAAAGTTGTAATTATATTAAGATGTAGAATAACACTAGTATTAATGAATAAAAAGAAGTGGAAGTGTTCAAATTGAAAATCAGTTTTTTCACAACCATACAAACTTTAAAATTTGCTCATCTCAGTTCCCTGATTTTCCCTGAAAGCCTACAACATAGATGGCATATAACAATGATGGATGGTTCAGAAATAGGACCTCTTTCAGGATCATAACAAGAACAGAAGTACAATGTGTCAGGAACCTAAAAAACTGGAGACAAACTCGACGAGATTTTGGAAGCTTAAATGTTAGAAACAGCTCTTGTATTTGTAGCAAATTAGACACTTTCACTTAACTGGCATCTTATCTACACTTTCGAAAGTTATTCAGGTTTCACTAAAAACATCCATGTCATATCTTTAACTTAATCATGAATGCACTCTTTTCATAAATATCTCTGCATTAGGCAAGAAGACTCAAAAAGCTTCAACTTCAAAGCGTACTCCTTGTACAACTGCAACTTGTACAAATACTCTTCACTCTCCTTACTTTCCCCTCCATCTAACTTGAATCAATCACTAGTGCAAAAATAACACAAGCTAAAAAATCATAACATAGCTATCTGATAAGAGAAAATCATTTTTATTAACTTTTCCCATTATGTTTCTTCTGCAATAAAAAATACAACACAAAAACTGAAAGATGAACCTACGGTTTTTCCTTTTCTACTTTGATTGTTGTAAATAATATATTTCTCTGATAAATAATTTTTTGCTGTAAAGCACGTTATGCATAGGAAAATGACACAACTGCCTTTACTTTCTGGTGTTTTGTTTTGCGTATTGACTAAAATTGTTTCTGTTTTTTTAACACTTTTCAATGTGATATTGATCGCAATCTGATGAGCAATGCATGCTGTCTTTGACACACAATTCTTTTATGCACTAAATCATATTATAAGACACATATCTTTGTTGAATTTCAGAATAATAAAAAGAAATCAGTTGAGGTGTGAAAAGCTCCAATTATAAAGAGAAAAAAACTTTATTTACATTATTTTCATCCAACATACTATTTGAACACTTTCCATTTTTGACCCTATCTAATGTAAGAAAATGCTGATCTGAGAATTTTAATATTAACACTTTACACAACTACACGGAGAAAGGTGTTCCACTATAGGCATCTACCATTTACAAACACATTTCACACATGGCAGACAAAATATAAAATTACATTAGCTACAACATCAGAGCAACTTACGAAAAAAGATTCAGGTGAAACACAATCTTATTTATCCAAAAAACTTAAATTTTATGCATCCCTATAAAATTTGCTATTGCACACGTTTCATTTTATACTCACCAGCAAATATACAACCTGCTGACCACATGTCTATTGAAGTAGTGTACAACTTTGCACCAAACAAAACATCAGGTGGACGATACCATAAAGTAACTACTTCAGCTGAGTAGCACTTCACAGGAATCCCAAATGCTCTAGCTAATCCAAAATCTGCTAATTTTAACTCTCCATTCTGAGGAAGAAATATTTAAAGTTAGTACTACTTAAGGTATTTTATGGCCAACAAAAGACCAGAATGAAAACAATAAAAATATAATTACAGTTTCAAATTTAATAATTAATATATAAATACACACTAATATATTCTACATAAAACACTGAATAAAAATTCACAAAACATACATTAAACTCTGAAATTAATTCTATGTTCAAGAGTTTAACTATTTTTGTTTAATTTAAAAATGAAAAAAATGATTTGTTTTACCTTATTTATGAGAAGGTTTTGAGGTTTGAGATCACGATGAAGTACATTATGACTATGACAAAAAGCTAGACCTCTAAGTAATTGGTACCTAAAATTTAAGGAAAGTAACACTCACAAACATATCAACGAATACAATGTTTAATACCATTAAATTATATTACTACTATTCTTTGAACAACACATTTAATGCCACAAAAGTAACCACTGAATAAACTGATTTACCTACATAAAAGACTTTACTATATCAGGATCAATTTCTCCATTTAAGCTGTCAAAATACTTCTTCAGATCTTGGTCACAATGTTCAAAAACCAAGGTAAGTTTTTTGTCACTGTGCAGAACATCATATAGGCGAACAATATTTTTATGTTTTAACTCTTTCAATAAACAAATTTCTCGAAGGGCGGACGATGGCACACCCTGCAGAAAACAAATAATCAAGGTAAATCAAACACTTCAGTCAATCAATACAATAGATACAAATAACTATTCACCTCATCATCATCATCCAAACGCACTCTTTTCAAGGCAACAATTTCGTGCGTTTCGCGATTTTTGGCCTTAAATACTGTTCCGTAAGTGCCTGAAACAGAAATTGTTTGGTAGATTACACACGTAGGAGGCTTTGTAATTACACTCTTGTTCTATTCAATTGTCTTCGGTGTTTACTCAGTATCTGCATACACAGCTTAGCACGCAAAACTAAATCATGTTCACAAACCTTCACCGATTTTTTCTAATTTCTCATACTTTTGCATATTCACTAATGTCACACACGCTTGTCAACACCAGCGCGTGCATTCGCAGCATCCTCGCCGCATGACAGCATGGCATAAACATCACACAAAGTCGTAAGAAATTTTACAAACACACGAACGACATCTCGGCAGATGGCATCACTAAGATTCTGGAAGGATTTCTATTTTTATCACTATTTATACAGTGAAATAATCAGAGCAGTAATTTTTCTAATGATATTTTATTTTTACCTTTCTGACAATATACTTAAATGCTGGCAATTTGAAGTGTAGGCTATTTTCCTAAACTGAAAACATTACGGATATTTTTTGAAACTGTCATTATTTTGGCAAGTGTTATTTTTAAAATTTTATATTGGCAAGTGAGCTTGTTGGGGAAGCTAATTATATATTTACTTTATTAGAAATGTGTATTCAAAATGCGATTGCCCATTAAGACAAAGTATTGTAGGATCTACTCACAAAATACCTACAAGTTAATCTAACAATTCTTCAAATTAGCAAATTATTGAACACAAACCACAATATGAAATTTCGAAAACATGATAAATACGTGATATAGATGTTAAATGAGAAAAAGTAAATTGAACCTGACGAACTCGAACCTCATCACTGACCGGGAGATAGTACAGTTCCAGTCCAGATAATGGTAAAATTTCGACATGAGCTCAAAAGCGTATCGATGTATATAGGGGCCCATGGCAAAAAGAATTTGCGCCCCAGTCAGGATACTTCAAATTAGGGTTGTTGATATTTGTTTTAGCGGGTGTACTCTTAAACAGTGCCCCATGTGAGTGAAGCCTATGGCACGAGATATGTCTGCAATACTGTAGATACGCCTATGAATAATAATAATAATAATAATAATAATAATAATAATAATAATAATAATAATAATAATAATAATAATAATAAACCTTTTCCCTAGTAGAGAATGCTGGGTAAGGAGCAGACCTTCTGACTACCTCTTCGACGAAGCCAACCGCTTCACGAAGGACGAACTAGTCCAGACGATGAAGAAGGCCAAGATTGGAACTGCACCGGGGCTTCACGGAATTCCGAACGCGATCCTGAGGATAGTTGTAAAAGAATACCGAGAATGCCTTTTGAAAGCCTTTAACCAGTGTCTTGAACAAGGGAAATTATATACGGGTTGGAAACATCAGAAGCTAATTCTCATGCGGAAAGGTAACAAACCAATCGATCGGACGCCATCGTTCAGACCTTTTTACCTGCTGGATACGATGAGCAAATTACTGGAAGGTTTGCTCCTTCAACGACTAAAGAGACATGTCCAATTTTCAACGAGACAGTTTGGATTTAGAAAGGGACTCTCGACAATAGACGCGATCTCAGAAGCAGTCCACCATGCAAAATCAGCGAAAAGGAATAAGAGTTTTTGTGCTTTGGTAGCGATTGACATTAAAACTGCCTTTAATTCTGCCAGCTGGAAAAACATCATACAAGCCCTAGCAGCTAGGAAGATCCCTGAATACCTTGTGAGGATCCTAGAGGACTACCTCAGTGAGAGGAAAATAATCTACACTAACGCGTATAGGATTGGGGAAGACATGACCTGCCGTGTTCCACAGGGATCAAGATTGGGCCCCTTCCTGTGGAATACCCTTTATGACGACCTGCTGAATAATGAACACCCAAAGAACTCCAGACTCATAGGCTACGCCGACGACACACTGATCATATGCCATAGTGATAACACGGAACTACTGGAAATGAAGACCAACGAAACACTACGCAGGGTTAAAAGATGGTTGGATCAAAGAAACCTCCAGATGGCTGATGACAAGACGGAGGCCGCGTTGATTACAAACCGCAGAGCATTCCGCCCCGGTGTTCCGACTGGAGGTAAACTTATTGAATGAAAAGGCCATTTTACATACCTGGGGGTGGAAATTGATTCACGACTGAGCTTCGGACCCCATATTATAAAATCAGCAGGAAAAGCTGCAAAGACTGGATCAAATCTCTCCAGACTAATGCTGAACGCAGGAGGTCCCTGTGAAAGCAAAATGAGGTTAATTTCCGCTGTAGTGCACTCAAAAATGCTGTATGCCGCCCCAGTGTGGGCAGATGCGCTAACTAAAGAGTCCATTCGACGGAAATTCACACAGATTCAGAGAAGGATGGCTCTAAGGATTATCTCAGGATATCGCACGGTATCGGACAGTGCAGCCTTAGTACTGGCCAGTGTCCCCCCAGTGGACCTTTTAGCCCAGGAAAGGAGGACAATGTACCTGAGGACGACAGCAGACAAACAACAAACCCTGTCACAAAGACAATTAGACAATATAAAGCGGAATTGAGAAACCATCTCCTGCATCAGTGGCAAAACCGATGGGACCTGGAGTACAAAGGTAGATGGACACACAGCCTCGTCCCTAACATCAAGGATTGCATCTGCAGGATCCATGGCACAATGGACTTCTACTTGACGCAAGCCTTCTCAGGGCATGGGAACTTTCAAGCATATCTATACAGATTTAAAATCGCTGAAAGCCCGATATGCGCGTCATGAAGAAGACGACGACGCTATGCACACCATATATAGTTGCAAAGCTTGGGAGGAAGAAAGAAGAAACTGCTACAGCGAACTGCGATGGGAATTAACGCCTTCAAACACAGCTCAGACTATGCTGCAATCCAGAGACAACTGGAAAATAGTGCGAGACTTCGTGGCTCACGCACTAAAACAGAAAGCCATTACTAAAAGCAGAGAGAGCTAAAATACCATAGCGACCATCTGAAGAGGAAAGCTCATGCTCTCAGCCAATCTTCTGCGTGAAGTAATGTCTCAACGACGGTCCCGCGCAGAAGATACCATGGCCCATGTGAATCGAGGAGGTTAGGTTTTAGTCTCCTCGGCAATAATAATAATAATAATAATAATAATAATAATAATAATAATAATAATAATAATAATTATAATAATATTTATTGAGTCACATATTCAATTACAATCGAGTATGAAGAGTCAAATATGAAGTATATATAGAGAAAGTACAATCGAATACATCATTTTGAAAGCAGCGAGTGAAGTTACATTTATCTTTATTGTCCAGAAGCAAAACAAGGAGCCATCTCAGCATTTGCTCAAAGGACCAGGGAAAATGGACAAAAAACCTAATCAAGATGGGGGTCATTGGCCTAGAGATTATACATATGCTAGGTCCAATTTAACCGCGATCTGGAAAAATCAAGCAGCCCTGCTCTGACCGATAGTTTTCCGTGGTTTATCCCATCAACACCTGGCGAATGACAGAGCAGTACCATGGAAGAATACAGCTAATCCACGGACTGTGCGTGGTCTTTCCTCCCTCTTCCTTGTCCTATACTTTTCCCGTACTCTCATGTACTACACATCCACTTTATATATATATATATATATATATATATATATATATATATATATATATATATGATATACACAAATTAATGTGAACAAGACGTAATTGTCAAATAATTTGAATTTCAGAGCTTGGCAACCCAGATTTACCGTCAATTATTATCTGAAAGCTTGTATCAACTGTTTATTTATCTTAGTTACATTGTTGTTTGTGTTTACTAATGTCTTATTGTTCGTTTCTGTGAAGTTTTAATCTTGTGAAGAGTGATAGATCATTTTTTGTCAAACGCAAGCTGTGGATCTCACTTCAAAGGAAAGAAGTAAGATAGCCATATTATATAAACATACCAGTATGATACAAAGGGACATTGCTAAAGAATGTCACGTGAGTTTAAGTGTCAACAAAATTATTAAACAATTTAAAGTAACTGGTTGTGTTTCATCTTAGCGGAGAGGAAAGTGTGGAAGAAAACGGAAAACAACTCACAGGGATGACTCATTTTTGCTCAGAAAATCAAAGAAATACCCTAGGCTGACAAGTTTTGATCTACAGACTTTGAACTACAAACAGCACGATCGGGTGTTCATATTCATGACTACTGTTCGACGCTAGCTTTTGGAAGCTGGGCGAAGGGCTGTTCGGCCTCAAAAGAAACAGCTTTTGATGATCCCAATGATAAAGAAAAGTTTATCTTGGGCCAAAAAATATGAGAAATGGAATGAAGAAGATTGGGAGAATGTCTTATTCTCAGATGAAACGCACTTCATTGTACAGGGTCAACGGTCACGCAACGTGAGGAAATCACGTAATGAAAAACTTTCTCCTAATCACTTTGCCCAAAGTGTGAAATACCCCATTAAGAAAATCTTTTGGGGTTGTTTTTCTATTCATGAACCAGGGCCCCTTGTTCCAGTTGATGGAATGATGGATTCTTATAAGTACATTGAGATTGTTAGAATACGAGTGATTGGAAGTCTCAATGACAAGTGGCCGGGGGGGATGGCATTTTTTCAACAAGATCATACTCCCTGTAATAGGTCGTGAAAAGTCACTAATTTTTTTCAAGAACATATTGTTAGGTTTTTAGACTGGCCAGGAAATTCACCAGACATCAATCCTATAGAGAATTTATGGGCTATCTGTAAAGGAAGAATGCCCAAAATGAACTGCGCAAACAAAGAATCCATGTTTTCTTCGTTAATCGTGTACGGTTCAAAGACAATGAAGTGAAAATGTGTAAAAATTGGTTCATTCTATGCCAAAACGTGTAAAACTAGTTATTGAAGCCAGGGGTAGACATATATCATACTAGTTGTATAATATTCTGTAAATACTATATGGATTATTAAAGTAAGTTGAAATCAAGACGTGTTCACATTAACTTGCACACTACTGTATATATATATATATATATATATATATATATATATATATATATATATATATGTTGAAACGAATAGCGTTTCAATTTCTATATGGAAAAACATTATAACGCGATACATTTTGGATGAAAAACTACATCTTGATTAGCGAAGTGATGCCGCCACTAACGGAAAAATCAGGGAACCGGTGAGGCGAGCAACGGTCAGTCGCTTTATGGTGAGCGGAAGGGTTGTGACGCGCGAGATGAATAAGTAGCAAATTGACCTTGTATTACGGAATAAATAAGATTTAGGAGTGAAACCAAGAGTGCTAACGAATTGTAGGCCATTATATGACTTGTGGAAATAAGATG